CAGAAGCAGTCGCCGGTGGGGGGAAAACGACCTCGAAAACACGTCAAACTGTCTGTGTGGAAATGCCCCCCAGCACTGTATTTGCAGCAACGAATGACCCCAAACTCCGATGCAAACCCCGGGAACGCGGGGGACATCTCGTGGACGTGTGCAATGTCACAGAGTCCCGGGAGAACCCGGAATGTTAAGCTCCTGAGATGCTATTACCGCAGCTCGGACAGAAAATATGAAATGATCTGGCGTGCATGGGGGCCACCATGGGAACTAGCTGGCCCCGGCTGGAATACTACACAGCCGCGAACACGCCTCTATACAGCCAGGCCGTGCGTCACCTCGCCCGCCTGCTGTCGAGGGGGAGTCCAGCTACGAGATGAGCTGTGCATTATTTGCATTTTGCGCGCCCGCCACCATGAAATCGTTTTACTTCTACATGTGATAGGAGAGTGCTGAGAAGCTGGCAGGGTGAGCGTTATTAGTCGCCACAGCTCGGTGCGACTCAGAGGAGATGTGACCTTGTTTCTTCACCCAGTGGCTTCAGAGACGTGCTGATGAGGGTGGCTCCTTCCGTCGCGGGCACAGAAAAGCTGTCCGGGGTGAAACGTGGCCTCCCGCCGGGCGGGCGAGGCCTGAGCGGCCCCCTGGGCAGACCTCGGGTCACCCCGGCCATCAGCGAGGGGGTTTGGGTGTCTGGCCCGAGCCTCGGCCCCTGCTGGCTTGTGAGTCCAACACACGCGTGGCCCTTTCCTTTCATGTCAAACAAGATCTGTGCCGCGGACCAGCCCCAAGTTCGGTTCGGCCCGAGAGGGTGAGAGAGCGTCGGCGCTGAGCTTCTGTAAGAGAGAAATGGGCGACTGCGCACCCCAAAGCCTGCAGAAACAGCTCCGGGTGAGGCCGGGACAGCGGGGTTCTTTATGGTGAGAATCGGGGTTACCGCTGATGCCCACGAGGGCCGCGCAGCCTGACTGTGCGGAGGAACGTGAAGCAGCGCACTGGTGACGCCTCTCGGGAGAGAAGGCGAAACTTCTCACGCGGGTCCCGCTACAGCAACGTTTGCACAGTGCGGCGGAGCGGCGTGCTCCTTCCCACCAGGCAGCTCGCCACGGAAGCGATCGTTCGCTCCGCGGAAACATCGAGTCCCGTTGCCAGAAGTCAACAGAGGCCAACGGTATTGTCTTGCAGGGGACGGTCGTTACAGCCGGCCCGAGGCAGCGGGTTCCTGCGGCCTGGCCGTCAGGCGGTCGCGCGTTTGCACTCAGCAAGGCCGGAGCGGAGACCTCGCCCTGGTCGCCGCGAGGGGGACCTCCGTGGACAGGCTCGCCCGTCCTCCCGGGCAGGCCCAGGTCAGTGCCCAGGCCGAGCGGTCTGGGGGGACCCGGGCGCCACAGGCACGTGTACTGCTCCACCCCGGGAGCGTTCTCTGGATTTCACCTCACGACCCCGGGCAGCGGCGCGGACACGGGGCTCCACGTCCGCCCTCGCAGCTCTCACAGCGAGCGCCCTGGCGGCTGCGCGCCCAGGGACAGGAACCGCGAGGGGGGAGCCCGACGATGCGGCCAGAGCTGCGACACCAGGAGGGTCCCTGCCCCTGCAGCCTTGGCCACAAGGCGGCGGAGGGGACGCGCGCCGGTCCCCGGCGTCCACCCTCCGCGTCCCGCCGCCCGAGCCCTGCACTTTCTGTCGGGGCGGAGGTGGCGGAT